GTGGTTGGGGACCCACAACGCCATTTCGGCGCAAAAGCTATTCCCGGCTCGCTCAGAAGAAATTTGATTTGACATTGATCGCTACCCCTATTGCCAGTCCGAGGCCACATACGATATGCAAAACGTTTGTTTCATTTCATCAGGCTTCGCTCGAACTTACCTTTCATCGCTGGCAAACTTACCCGGCTATTCCAGGCTGGTGAAGTGAAACGCTGTCGGGTTATTTGCGTGGACAACGCGGTCCGAACGGAGCATTGTTTGTACCTTGACCTTTATCCAGAGAATTACGTTGGCGGGAGTGAGTGAACGCCGCAATTCAATAGTGGATAGTAGAAATATTACCGCCTTAATCATCAAAAGGAAAGCGGCAAAATCAAGTGAAGTGGGAGTGAACATGGATTAAACCGAAATTTCACTTAAGGTACTTAATTAACTTTTCCTGTTCTTGCTGGTCAGCAGCGTAGCGGAAATTTTTGCAAATTGCGTTCCTTGCTCGAAGTCAATGCTGGTTGAAAAAGAGCAATTGTACGCGTTGGTGAAGTCCGACGTATTTTCTAGAGAATTAGTGCGTCGGAAGTAATATACATGAGAATGGAGGAAACACAGTTTCCTTAGTGCGTTGGTGGCGATTCTGCCGCCATTTAAAACGGGGCTAAAAGTTGAAAGAAACTGGGTTGCCAACGCGAAGAATGGCGAAATATTTTAAAAATATGCTGCGTAAGAACGCCAAACACTCGTTCTGAATTCTCCAAGCGACTATTTCATTCATTAAGTAAGTAAAATATTAAAAATTCATTAAGTAAAAATACAGCTCTTCATGCCCGGTTTACTCAATTCAGAATCCGGGTATATTTGTGTTAAAGATAACTGATAATTTTCATTGCTGAAACCTGTTTTTCTCCATTTCAATTACAAAATATATCTAGTAAGGACGAGAAAGATAAGTTAACAATCTTAAGATCGTATCTCTAATGTTGGTGATTTGTGGATAGTTGACGAATTATCCGATATTTGCAATACGCTTTAAAAAACTTAGATGTTAAAAAACTATAACGTTTATCATCGTTCACACAGTAATTGCTTAGTTAACGATTTACAAGGTGGTCCTTGGTGTCGCAAAGGAACACGCAGCAACGGTATATTTCTCATGAAGAAAGAAACCCTTTTTCCTCTTCCATTTTTATCTCCGTGTTTTCGTTTTCAAGGTGCAGGGTGTCAAAAATTTACTTTTTTACAATATGTTCACAACCGTTTGAACTACAATAATGCGCTTTTGTATACACGTTAAGTACTTTTTGACCACAGCTATTTTTCCGTAACCCAAAATTTTACACTGCTAAAAGTAGCTGCTTCTTATAGTTCAAACGGATTCCAAAATATTGCTCAAGAAATTGAAAATAAATGACATTTTTAACGCCGTGTTTCTCGCGAGAAATACGAAAAAATGATAATTTTTTTTAAGAGGATTCTACAGTTCTGTTCTATTTCTTAGCAAATTTGCACAATTTTTCCTTGTGTCGCTCAACTGGGAATCACATTAAATTACAATTGCAAGATTTATATTTAAAAACCAGTAAAACTACGTTTGAAAGCTTTAACATTCCTCTATCCCTTGAAGTAAAAAAACATTTAATTTGATTTTAAAAATGGTTTAACCGTTGAAAAATCCTCGAATGTTGAAGATGTTGCAACATTTCAAAATATCGTTTATCCACACGATTGTAAAACTAAAAATCATTGGGAATCATGTAAAGCGTTGATTTACTGATGCAATAGTTGTTTTGTATTATTCATTAAGTGCTTATGAACAATATGAAATGTAAAGATAAATGACAAGAGGAGTTGAATTGCAGCAAATTTCGAGGAAAAGTATCTAATGCAAGCGAAATAATATTTAAATTCGACTTTGTTATATTTATTTTTTACAATATACTCCCGGATTACTGAATTGTCTATGAACTGTGGAAATTGCCGACTCCTTTTGTCCGAGGATAATTTCCATTTATTATTCCGAAAAAATATCTGCTGTGAAAATACCAATAATTTTATTCTATTTTAGTTTTGTTTTGTTATTAAACATTAACGTTTTCATTGAAAAATGTTCTTTACAGTTGAATAAAATGCTTCAAAACGAGTGTTGAAACTTTGATTTTTAATATTTTAACTGTAAATCTTAAATTTACTCTAGACATAATTTCAAAAACCTCCTCTCCTTTTTGTTAAAAAAAAACAATGACGTCCACCTTAAAGAACCCAACACTTTTAACGATATGTGTAAAGTCAAGTTATTTTCAATATAAAAATAATCAATTATCAACAAAATTTTGGAACGGCCTTGGGCCCTGATCTTCATGAATCTGGCATTGTTTCGGTAGAAGATTTATGGAAAATTGTGAATACCAATAATCTCGTGGCGATATATTGGTGATACATTTTCCATTTAGAGTCATGGAAAACAAATTTTTTTATCATATCTGAACAATAAAGAACCAACAACTAAATTCCCTGATGAAAAAGAACAAAACAATCAAATTCGTTTTCTCGATATACTAATTAGGAAAAAATTTAGACAGTTTCGAAGATAGAAAACCAATAGAATAAACAGATATTTGAATTTTAACTCAAATCTTCCGATATTGATAAAAACTACATTGTAAAAAGTCTATATAATTGAGCAAAAGTAATTTGGAATAACTTTAATTTCCTAAAAGAATAGCAATACATACAAGAAATTTTAAATGTCAATAATTATCCAAGTTTATTTCTTGACAAAAGTAAATTGAAAATCCATTTTTCTTCCATTTATTCCGATAAAATTTAGACTTCAGATAAAATTAAACGAGTAGATAATAAATTCAATATTAAAGACTGCATATACTAGAAGCAAAATTTCAACAATAAAACCTTATGACAAAATTGAAAATCCATTTTTCTTCCATTTATTCCGGGGACTTCAGATAAAATTAAACGAGTAGATAATAAATTCAGTATTAAAGACTGCATATACTAGAAGCAAATTTTCAACAACAAAACCTTATGACAAAATTCAAAATACGAAAAACGTAATTTTCAAGATTCCTTGGCAATGTGGTCATGTTATATTGGGAAAATCTCATTATTTTCATAGATCACATATTTGTCAACATAAATTTGATAATTGCCCACAAATTCAATGGAATTAGAGTGCGCTCTAAATGTGAAAATTTTGAATTTTACTCATCGTTAAGAAATTGTTTAGGATTTGAAAAACTGTTGCGAGACACATTTTGCATTCAAATCACATGAAATCCTGAATTTTGCGAGCTTCGTTAATGTTGATTTAAAAAAAAATACTGTTTAGCAACTGTAGACTCCAATAAAAAAATCTTCCAACTTCCAAAGTAAAGCCAGTAGAAACTTGAAATATTGATATTCCATAGAACACACAAAATATTAATTTTTTTAATTAAATTTTCACGTAAACTTGCACCTACATGTCTGATATCCAAACTTCGTGTGACTTTTTGTGATAAATCCACCAGAATTTACTCACGCACGTTGTTGTAACTGAATCGAATTACCAATTCTCTATCCAATGATATAAAAACGAGTTYTGTGGCTGAAATGGTTCTTGAGCAAMTTCAAAGAAAGCGGCGTCATGATATAGCAAGTCAATTYCGCAATTTAAACAACAACACGCAAAACTAAAACACYTGACATGTTTTTAACAAAAAAATATAAAACTGGGACCCATATTTGCATCTGAATCAGTTCTTTGGAGACAACAGTTCTAYAAAGCCGCCCAAATTATTCCCAAAGTTGAAAAATTWACTACGAAAGAACCAATAGCTTAATCGATACCAAATTCACCCTAGGAGTCAGTTGATAAATATGGCCCTATAATGAAAGCTGCGTAGTGCCACCTGGAAAGAAAGAAGAAAATGTGTTTAATACAGCAGAAAATCTGTCCAAAGCCAAACTTGTTTGATATCAGCGAACCAAAGAGAGAGAAATGTAAATAATCCATCAAACTTCAGTTGCTTGTCGAAAAACAGTTCAAGCTAAAAGATTTATAGATTAGAGGCCATTCATACCAGCTTTGGCACACTGGCGCCCCATCCTCCATTTTCTACTCATTAATTCAGTTCACTACACTTTCACAAATTACCGCACTTGTCACAAGGGCCCCAATAATTCCATTTTTCCTGTCGAAGAACGCGCTTTACACGACACTGTCGGTAGCAAATTGAATATTCATATCTAAACCTTTTCGAAAAAAAACGACACCGACGTTCAGATTAAACTTGGTTATATAATATTTCGTTTGTTCGCCCTTTCCATGATTCATTGCCGTTGCTCTTGCTTGGCAGTGCGATTTCAGTTTGTTTATTGCCGACATTTTTGTAGAAAGCTCCTGTTCGCATTACAATTGTTCGAAAGGCAAATTTCACATTTCACCTTAACGAAAATCAGCAACAATTAAACGAAAAACGCTTCAAACGCCCAACTTCCCTAATTCAATTTAAAATTTAGAGCCATTTATATTTGTATGCATTTCATTCAGCTGCAGTGATTAATGCACAACGCCAAAGCTGAAACTATTAACCGAATTAGTTTTGTTTTTCTAAAAATATTGACTAAACAAAAAAAACGCAAAGAACGAAATTTCAATTAATTAAAAATGTCCTTTAAAAGTTCTGATTTCAAGAATTATTCCGACACAAGCCCAATTCGAGGTGCGGCGCAGTGAGGCACGGTGAGTTATCACTCACCAACTCACAGAGCGGCATCAACTCAAAAGCGCAACTCAACCCCCTGTCACCCAAACCTAAACCATCAACAAAAAAACGGAAAATTTAAGGAAGTGATTGGTACTACATTTTTACCATTCAATTTACCAAATCAAGAAGTGTTTTCCCTTGTTCATTTAATTTAATACATGCTAAAATAAGGAAATCTGAAGTAGATACACATAAACTAAATTTAACCAAAACTTTATTTTTTTAAACGCGATTTAACAAAAACAATTATAATTTGCAAAACAAAATAAGCGTAACTAACTAACTTCTCTAAATGAATTTCTTTACTAATTGTAATTTTCCACTTACAGCATTATTTCCGGAATAAATTTAATATTTAATGCAAATGATTACATTTTTAATTTACTAAGGCAAAACGTCATGCTCTTCCACTTAACACAGCCGATTATATAATTTTATGCTTTTATTTTGTGTTCAATGTTTATATTAACATTGGAGCATTTCTTCAAACATATATTTTTCTCTAAAACCATTTTTTATTATAATATCCTGTTCATATCAGCGTTTGGGTCGTTTTACTTCACTCTTTGTCGCTCATAAATGAGACACAGAAAACTTCTAGGTGATTGTTAAATGTTCTTCAAACAGTCAACTAAAATAGAAAACGTGCACCGTGTTCAATATTTTAAAATATAATTAAAAATTTGTACAAAATTAAACATTCGAAATAATGGTTCAGTAAATTAATCGTCGACAATTAAGCGAGTAAATTTCACTATTATGCTTCGAATTTTAATTAATATTTTTAAAATAACTTCTTAGACTCTTTGAGGGAATCTTAATTGTAAAATCCCTTATAACAGAGTGGAATTGGCAAAATAAATTATTCAAGTGAAATTTATTTTGCGTATAACGTGGTACCTCTCGCAGATACGGCGTAGAAAAATAAATAAATAACAGTACCACGATTTCCAAGTCAGACCTATATTATACCACCGCCCCTTTTTGCTTTTTACTCGCTGCCTTTTATACCTGACTTGGTCTGATATTGGGAACTTCGGTACCAAAACATGGTTGTGTTTTGGTACTTTTAGTTGTTGGCCGGCGTGTTCGTGGCTCGGACGATTGGATGTTGATGTTTGTTTTGTTTCAGTTTCATGTAGTACTTTTCAGTGTTGTCTGTTTTTGTTAATTGAGACTTTTCAATGTTTTGACTTCGCCTTAACGTAGTTACAGGTAAAAAACCTCTACATATAATTAGTTTAGTTATATAGCCTTTGTTAGTTTCGCTACAAAAACCGAATTGAAAAATATGAAAATAAAATTAAAATGTCTGCAGACTTCACTTTTTAGCATGCCTACCATGTATTCTATTGTAGGATCGAAATATCTTTTATATTGGAAATAGCTTTACTTAAACACCCATTATTAAGGTTTGCGATGAAAATTGCTTTAAACTCTTAGTGTGTACTCTAACACGCTACTGAATATCGATCAAATATTGATTGATATCAATTAAATTTCCCAGAAAACCCTGCGAAAAGCTACATTCGTGTTACTTAAACACATAATTGCGAACGTAAATGGATCTATCTTGAATTTGGGAATCCCTTATCGGCTGTATTGTACGTAAGTACTTATTAAATGCGGATAGAATAAATTGTATGATTGTTGATGAATTAATCTCTGCCTGGGTCTTTATGATAACTTTATAGCGTGAACTTTGCAATTACATATACACAAATGTTTCTAAATATTCAATTTTCGGTCAAAGCATGTTGCAATAAGTATGTACATGATACAGAATGGAGAATAATGAAAGTTTTGCGAAACTTACAAATGGATTTTGATATATGTAATGAATTCCAGAAAATTTAGCTTTTTTGTCAGATAATTTTAATTTAAACTTATTGTATTAATTGAATTACATGATAAATTAGGAGACATCAATCGATTACATAAAAATGATTTTCAATTTGATTTATTACATGATTCAATATTGAAACTTTTGCCATGACCACCAAAAATGGTCAGGCTCATTATTACAAAGTCGAAAAATTGTTCATTGGTGCCCACTTTTAAGCCCAATATATACAGAGTTCTTGCATAGTAGGGATAGTCGGTATTTAACGTAACCGCTAAAATAACAGTGTTTCGATCGTGTAACCTGGAACCGCAGTTACCCTTTGCCAATTTAGCCGGTTATCTGTAACTTATTTCATTTTTATTATCTTCCCATTACAAAATTAGTAAAATTGAAGTTTAACATTGTAGCTACTTTCTGCTGCTATCATTAAAGAGCGAGGAACTAGACAGTAAAAAGCATCGCAGAAAAAATCTTAAATGTTAATTGATTTTTAAATAAAAATTAGTTGTTTAAACATTTTCGCATGGAAAGCGTATATTTTATTTAATGCTATTTTATTATCAGTTTTTTCTTCTTTAAGTAGTTACTTACGACGCATGTTTTGTTGCTGTTTTGAGAATATATTATTTTTAGTTGACCAATGTTAAAAATTATTTTTTTTATAAACTAAATCACTATTTTTAACGTTATCATCATTGCGAATTTTTAATGAAAGTGGAACTGCGACCTTATAACCAGTTACATATAAATGCATTTAAAAACAATATTTAAATAATTTATTGGATATAATAATAAATTATTTGCTTTATAAACTTGGCCAGCAAAGGCTTGCACTTTCATCTTCTGATATAACTTAAGCTTGTTCATTTTACGTCGTTTTCAGGGCTGGAGATTTTAATAATTTACGTGAAATATACTTACATAATAGACATTTTGTAAAATATTTGAACAAAACATCTCTTGAACAAACAAAATTATTTGCAGAAGAATGTCTAAAATGTTTAAGATCAAACGTCCGAAAACGGCTAAGATTATGAATGTTTTATTAAATATTTTAAAGTCAGTGTTAGCAATTGGTTGCCAAACTTCCTCAGTCAAAGTTTTGATTTATTTTAGTTTGTATGAAAAATGCATTCAAAATATATTGTGGCATTCGGAAGCAAATGACAATTTATCAAATGCATTTAAAAACACTTACTTAAATTTGCCAAGCTTCGAGAATGATTACGAATTATAGTAAATTAATAACTAAATAGTAATCAATAGTAAAATTAATTTATGGATTTATAGTAAATTAATTATATCTAGCAACTTCACCTGTATATTACAGTTTCCAATTTTCCAAAGTTGTAGTAAATTCGTAGTTAAAATTAAATATTTTATCCACCCCACAGCCGCCCAGTAGAACTTTTTTAAATTAATATTTTGATATCTCGATTGGAGGAGCTGGTCTTATCCCATACCCCTAAGAGTCCCGACTTAACGCCTCTTGATTTATTTCGCTGTAGTTCTTTAAATATTATTGTGCTTAAGTCTCGTTACAAATGTTGATTATTTGCGCCTTAGAATACTAGATGTGGTTTGGAATATTAATTTGAATCATAACGAATATATTTAAAAGGTTTTTTGTAAAATTTAAATTAATTTCAAAAATTATATTGTGATTAGTGTCTTATTGTTTTTATTTATATTTTTCCAATCTATGATAGAAACAAATATTGTTATTTTCTTGTTTATTGTTTATAATAATGTTTTCAAATTTCATCTAAATTTCAGAATTTTCCAGTTTTAGCCAAGTTACTATTTCTTCTAAATGCTCAAGTTTCACTTAAAAATGCTGACAATCTTAAGGTATTTTCCGCGAAAAATTATGAAATAAATTTTGATTCGTTCGTCGTTTTGTAAAAAGTTTTGAAATTCCTTTCCAGCTACCAATTTGGAACAAAAATCAAATATTTTTTAATAAGAAAAAACGAACAGAATAAGCGAAAGTTTATAACCGAATATTTGTAAATCTCGTCACCTCCATGCCTTTGAAGACTGCAGAGTTTGTTAAAAAAAACGTCGTTTTTAGTTTTGACTGAATTTTTTTTGCTTTACTTTCTACTCAAAAGTGCTTTTTTTGTACAGTTTCACTTAAAAGGACTGACGATCTGGAGGTCTTTTACGCAAAAAATTACAAGAAAATTTATAGCTGTAAAAATTTAACAAAAACTTTTTTCAACGTCGAATTCGGGACAAAAACGAAAATAAATTCCGTTTTTCATCGAAAACCATTAAGGTTTTCTGCAAAATCGATCACAAAACTAGAAGTTTTTAATCGAAAACGCAAGAAATCATAATTTTCTGATGATTTTCGTCTTTTCAGCCAAAAATTACAAAATTCATTTTGCTAGAAAATTCGCCTCATTCATCGGTTTGCAGAAAATTTGAGCAAACCCATTTCAGCTTCGAATTTGGCACAAACACCAAATAATGTTATTCAGTTTTTTACCGAAAGTAATTATGATTACTTCGAAAAAACGACCAGAGAGCAAAAATTATTTGGAAAATTCGTCGCCCGTTTAACAAAATTTCTATTAAGCAATTCTTTCGACACAAAAATCGCATTATTTTGTAGTTTTACTTAAAATACTGACAACCTTCAGGTATTTTCTGTGAAAAATTGTGAAAAAACACTCGCCTCTTTAACCGCTTTGCAGAAATGTTTGGAGACATTTTTGCAGCTACGAATTATGGACAAAAGCCTAATAATAATTTATGGGGCTTTTTCCAAAAATATTTCCCGTACTGAAAAAGCGAAAGTTTATGATAATTTATTCGGAAAACTCTTGGATACTGGGGTTTCTTCACTTTTAGGTCAATATTTCTAAACAAAACTCTCTCTCTCTAAACAGAAAAACTGCGTTTTTCGTAACTTTTTACTGTAAAATACTGGCAAACTGAATCTTTTATGCAAAAAACTTAAGAGATTGATTTTACAAGAAAACTCGTCGACCTTCTATAGACTCAGTTCTGTTGCTGGGAAAATCTAGATGACTTTTTTAGTGGTTCCAGCAAAGTAGTAACATGTTATTCAGAAAAAATGTTGATGACCTTTTTTTAGATGTGAAAATTCCAGTCTCGGGTCTCGTAAAGCTCGTTAATAAATGACTTATTATAACTCATTAACCGATGAGTTACAACTCAGGGCGGCAACAACTCAATAGCGCAACTCAACACAGTGTTACCCAGGCCTAATTCGAATTGAAGAAAAACGTTTTTCTTTTATACATTTTTGCCCTAAAAATGAGTCGATCCAACGCAATAAGCGCAAAAACTGGTTGTCTTCCAACATTAACCAATGAACGGTGTGAACCGACCGAAATTGTGATAATTCGCAGTTAGTTAGTAATAAATGTTGCCAAATGAATAGCAAATCATAATCAGAGAACCGTAGAGAAACATTTGGTTTTTCGAAGCGTATCGCATAATTGAAGAGGGAATTTTTGCCCATTAACGTGACAACGTGGCAGTGCGCGCAGTCGTCACCGACTGCAAAATCGAGACATCAAGGTATCCAAAACAAATAAAATAGCGAAGAAGATGCGGTGAATTCGCGCACACAAAACAATATTCGAATAATGTCGTGTGTGCGATCGACAGGTGTTTGTCTTAGTGTGTGCCCTATTCGCTATGTGAAGCACTGTCAATGTGCTTAAGACAGAGTTCGCTGTAAACTCAACTCGACTACGTGCACGGGTCATATTTTGTCATGAATCCCGGCTTAGCCTTGACTTGATTTG